TTTGTGCGTATGTTATGTGAACTCTAATGCCAGTATACTTTCAGAATACAGTATTATATATATGTGAGGACCTTATGGTGTCGGTATATGGAAAATGTTATGTCACGAGATTAATGGACCCAGAATTGTGAGTGCAAGTAGGTAAGTGTTCACGCAGTGTTGCACCATACTGAGTCTGTGAATGGCAAAGTGTCTAAGTGAATTTTTGATGCATAATATTATCTTTTTGGGGGTTAATAATCTGAACAGTAGTTTTGAATAGTGGATTGCATGGAGTGTTAGAGTAGGTATTGCAGAAAAGTAGTACCAGTCCTTGGGTCTTAGTGAGCACCTGTGCATGTATTGTATTTACAGTGGAATATACCTGTAGTATTGATTTGTTGTAACACAATGGCAGATGCTAACGCAAATAAGGGGACCATGACGGCCAAAGCCGCTGTTGATTTAGCAACAAAAGTCCAAGCACTTCTGGCTAAACTCTCTAAAGCCATGGGTAAAGGAGGAGAAAACCAGCGGTTAGACTGGATCTTTAAGAAACAGTGGGCTTTGTAAGTGAACCTCCTTGGTTGTTGATGGGTAGTGAAGTGCACAATCTGTTGTAGGTAACTTTTGGTAATTGAAGAAGTGAAAAAAAAAAATGGAGGATGTTTTTTTTGGGGGTTAAAAGTATTTTGCAGAGGAAGGGTCAATTTGCAGTAAAGACAGAGATTGGAAGATGTATTGGCAGTTATGCAATCATCTGAAGGGTATCTGTTACTAGTATGAGTAAAGATACCAGTGATGAATTCTCAAGTTCCGGTTGGTAAGTCCTACGTAGGCTGGGTGTTGTTGGTATATAGGTGTAGAGTTCGTGACTTTCAGGGAGTATTCGGGCATATAAATATGGTGCTATTACTTCTACATGGCAAATGCCATAAGTACAGACAGTTTTTGGTTTGGTGGTGTTCTCATGAGGACCGTTTCGTTAGCATTGAATTCTTGGGAATACCCGCTCGTTCGGAGTCCCTTGAAGGGTGCTGCCTCTCGCGAGTGCGACATAACTCTTTAGATTAAGGGCAACAAATCATTCCTTTGACTTGATGGGGTCCGTTCGTCTATGTCCTAGCTTGAGAAATCTATGTTAAATCTCAGTGTGTCCTGTCAGCATTTGACCAATCGCGTAAAAGAAACTTCATAATCTATGAACATTGAAATTTGAGTTCTGTAAGGAATTTTGAGTGTGCATTTTATCTACCGATGTGAGGGTGTATTTTGTAACATGTAACACCATTTATTATTATTATTATATGATATGAGGTATCTAACTCAAATCATTATTATTCTATGATGATGTACTTGACCCCATTTATTATTATATGATATGATGTATGTAACACCATTTATTATTATATGATATGATGTATTTACCGCCATTCAGTATTATTATGACATGATGTACCTAACCCCATGTGATATTATTTTTGGTGCTATTTTGTAATATGTATCCCAATATATTTTTTTATGAAGGTGTGTCACATTCTAATTGTATGTTAACAGATTTCCATTTCTTGTACCTAATCCTGACCACCGGTAGGGAATTATTTTTCTATTTTTATTGATATAATTTGTGCAATGTTTTGTATGAGGATTTATACTTTATATTAATGATTTAATGTGTATGTCACTACTTACGTGTTTTCTGAGCGTTACATACAATAATGAATCTTGGGGAAGGGAGGAAGCTTTGTAATGGTCATGATAAGGCTAACCTGAAAACCTTAAGGATTCATGTGCGGCTCAAGCGTCCACAAAACCTTCGAAAAGTCCCCAATTAGGCGTCCCCACGTTTTCTCTGTTTCCCCGCCTTTGTCTATGAGAGACAGGCGCTGTATGCTGGGACCTGTTACCCATCCATTCCTTTGTAATCAATTTAATTTTGGCTTTTCGATATTAGCTGAGTCAGAGCATTGTTAGTGAAGATAATAGTAGAGAATGAAAGTAGGTTCATAGTCTCAATTTCAAGTCAGAGTTACACGTAAATTAATTCATCGGGAATAGAGGTAGGTGGACTCACGTGGACGTTGCAGAGGGGCCGCGGCATTTTAACGTTAGTAAGTGCCCGTCCAGCCATCATACAGGTATGCCATTCCAGCTGTGTTGTAATTTGCCTTCTTTAAGTGGTTGACCCAATTGATGATGATTGTACAAATTATTTACAGTAGCGTAGTTGATATGCTCTGAGTAAAGTCATATTTCGTCTTTGCGTCCCTGAAGCGTGTTATTTGTTGTCACCCGGTTGAAAGTAAGTGCCGATCCCTTCATCCATACAGGTCCCTAAGCGCCAGCCTAGGCCGTGTCTGTAGGGTGGATGTTGTATCCACTATGTCTGAGGGGGACATGTCCGGGGTCCAGTAGGATCAGTTACAGCCATTGAGACCCGGCCGTCGGAGCCTTACTTCCAGACCACCTATAGCCCCCATAGCTGGCTCGTCTGGCCCTAGCGCTTTCGGTCCGCGGTGACCCTGGACGCAAGCCACACACCACTACCAGCCCCATCATTGGTGGATAGAATGTCTACCTCAGTAGGGCTACTTTGTGTGGTGGAATTAACCCACTGGGATCTCCAGAGTTAGGTGGGATGAGTACTCCCATGGTGGCTGGACCCACATGGCTGTTGCTTGAAATCACTCCCTGGCTGACTGAGTGTTGTAGTGGCAGTTGCCTAGTATTTATGGTGCTAAGTGACTATCACTAGTTGTGTTATTGAGTATGTATGCGTAGGAGTTGGAAGGGAGTATTGAATATGTCCGCAGTAATGGTGTGAGGTATGTTGAGCCTGAGGGCCCTAGTAATAGATTTCGTCTACTGTTGAGTACAAACCAATTCTTTCTTCTAATTTCATATTCATGTTTTAAATAAACTTTGTATTTGTATAATTGTGTATATTATTTACCTACAGTATTTACCGTTATTTCTTCCCTATTGCTTGATACTATCATTTTTTACCCACGAGCCTCTATCGTCACGCTACCAATGGTGATATATAAAGAGTAAAAAGGAATTACTGGCACACAGGCCCTCATGAAGGGTGGCAGTAGCAGCCCATATAAATGGTAGCTCAAACCCTCACTTAACAGCACAGTGTGATGCCTATATTTGAGCATCACAGCATAGTGTAGTACTATATTTGAGCATCACAGTACAGTGTAGTACTATATTTGAGCATCACAGCAGTGTAGTACTATATTTGAGCATCATAGCACAGTGTAGTACTATATTTGAGCATCACAGTACAGTACAGACCTTATATTTGAGCATCACAGCAGTGTAGTTTTATATTTGAGCATCACAGTACAATGTAGTAGTATATTTTAGCATCACATACAGTGTAGTACTATATTTGAGCATCACAGTACAGTGTAGTACTATATTTAAGCATCACAGTACAGTGTAGTACTATATTTGAGCATCACAGCACAGTGTAGTACTATATTTGAGCATCACAGAACAGTGTAGTACTATATTTGAGCATCACAGTACAGTGTAGTACTATATTTGAGCATCACAGTACAGTGTAGTACACTATATTTGAGCCTCACAGCACAGTGTAGTATTATATTTGAGCATCACAGCACAGTGTAGTATTATATTTGAGCATCACAGCACAGTATAGTATTATATTTGAGCATCACAGCACAGTGTAGTATTATATTTGAGCATCACAGCAGTGTAGTATTATATTTGAGCATCACAGCACAGTGTAGTACTATATTTGAGCATCACAGCACAGTGTAGTACTATATTTGAGCATCACAGCACAGTGTAGTACTATATTTGAGCATCACAGCACAGTGTAGTACTATATTTGAGCATCACAGCACAGTGTAGTACTATATTTGAGCATCACAGCACAGTGTAGTACTATATTTGAGCATCACAGTACAGTACAGAAGATAATAGAATCTCATAAGTCCATATCTAAACTTAATAAACTTTCATTTTGTTTATATCATAGTGTAATTTGGGCATCAAATAACCACAGGCTGCAGCACTAGATATTTTACTCAACCTTCTTCCTATCATATCTCCAATAAATCATCCACATTAATATCTCACTTACCCATACAGTACATTATCTCTTTAGTGGGTTTTCATCCATGAGACTCTCCGAAGCTGTATGATCCCACACTTTCTTTCTCCATATTCACTCCTATACCCTTCAATCCTCTCAACTCCAGCAATATTTCACAGACTATCCATCTCAGTTTTTATTTATCACTACTCTGAAACACAAGTTTCTCTTTCTCTCACATGTAAGCACATACACAAACACTTTTTTTTCCTTTGAAGCCTTTTCTTATTTAATATACAGTGGCTAGAATCAGACAAATACACAAATGCACACAGCCACTATTTTATCATTCATTCATTTTATTATACAGGTACTTCTCGACTTACGGTCTACTTGACTTACGACCACCCGGACATATGACCACCGCAGTCGTATAAAATATTATTCAAATTACGTATTTTCGAGTCCCAACGTCAGTGATCGCGCCGTGTACTGACAAAATATTTGTTTGTAATTCCCTTTAAAATAGCTGGCAAGCGTAAAAGTGAGAGTTCTCGTGGTACTGAGAAGAAAAAGAGACACCCATTTTAGATTTTTCTATGTATTATTTCGCATTTTCGATTTACCACCTGGTCGTCGGTCCCTAACCCCGTCATAAGTCGAGGACTGACTGTACTGTAATATACATGTTTAGCTATCTTTCCAAAGATTAAAGAAACTTGATTACCACAGGGAGTTGTAACTCTGCCTTGCCAAGTAAAAAAAAAAAGGGTGCTTGGAAGTCCTACATATAATACCCAGTTCTCACAAGTCAACATATTCATAAGTTGTTCTAGGCAGGCTTAGATGGTATATAACAATATATTACTGTATAATATCTGTTGTAATCAGTAGCAAATTGAATTCATAAACAATGAAATTACTAGATAATATGCATTACTGTACATACACCAGTAGTTGACTCTGAAGTTCTGGTAATTTAAGTCTCTCCTTTGTTCTGGTGGTTTTAAAGATGCTGTTATCATCCTCTTGCATAGAGACACGATCAATTAGGCATGGGGCATCCACTAGCACCTTATCATATGCCTCCTTCTCCTTAAAATCACATCCATTACTCTGAAATATAAATATTATTTTTATGGGCACTAGAGAATAAAAATTACTGATGTATAAATCTACCTGCTGAAACAGGTGAAGGTAATGGCATAGGTATGTGTTGTGGGTGATGGTGAAGGAAATGGGCAGCAACCTGTAGTATAGTGATCCAAAGAGACAGACAGAATTATCATGTACTGTACAATGAAATACAAAAGTCGTGCTGTGAAATTTGGTGAAAACTTATGCCAAAGGGCTAAACTTTTGGTGCGCTCTGCCTTGTGGTAGGGGGCTCTCATAATTGTTTCACGAGTTATATTTAATCTTCGGACAAAACCGCGACACGACTTTTGTCTTTGATCGTACATGTACAGATACAGCATTAGTTCATCTTGTTTACTTGATTATGAACATGTTCCTCAAATGAGACACTCATCATCTACCTTCCTTCATTAAATCAACTTGTTTATTTTCATCTTTCACATTAGATGCTATATGGGTTTCTACTGTTCTGGCAATAGTCATCAGTTAAAACTCTTATTGTTGGGTGGCTGGGAAGGCAGTCATTACCCTCAAGGTCCAGAGTAACCACCATGTTCCTCTTTTGAGTCACTGTTACTCAAAAGTGTTTAACCTGTACAGTACCTTTATTGGTAAAATATATTCTACAGTAAACCCTCAATAACTCGACATGATAACTCGGCATGGATATAGTCTCGGAATGTATTAGTATAACTCGGGTATGCCTAGATATGTAAAATTATCTGGGAAAATCTCAGCATATCTGGTCACCTGCATCACCTACCATGCCTCTGTGTCACCTACCATGCATCTGTGTCACATACTATGATGCTTTAACTTTCACCTGCAGTGCTGGTAAGTGTTATTTTTTTACATTTAGTAATTACATGTACACATATATGGATCAATAATTTTTTATTGCTGTAATTTTGTAGGAAGGGGGAAGTGCCTCGATAAGTCAGAATTTGGGATAACTCGGCAAGGCCAGAGCCCCGTATGTGCTGATTTATCAAGGGTTTACTGTATGTCAAATGCAAATACCAGAACTGTACTTATTTAAATTTAATTACTATGTTTATGTTTGTGTCTATGTCTGATAAAATAAATAATTCTTCTGTGCAGTATAGGGCTTATCTTATTCAGTGAGCTACTTTGTATCTAATAGATTTGAGGTTGTAGCCACAGCCAGAGTGAATGTTCATATGAGCAGAAAACAATGCTATTGATATACACAACACAACTTACAAGTTGTCATTATGTCTGATGATACCCACTACCAATATAGAACAACTCTTAAGTTCAATGATAATACTGTAATTGTTCTTCTACGAAGAAAAAACATAGGAAAACTGTTAATTAAAGGTAATTCAAGATGTAAGGCGGGCTATTATTTGGTACCACTGATGAGGAAGCTGTTGGGTACTTGAGAAAGTCAAATATTTTTTCCCAGTTATACCCTGCTAAGTTAGGGGTGTGTCTAATATGGCAGGAAATATGATATGTCCCTCAGGGGCAACTTCCTCAAACCTGTTATTTACTACTGGACCCAACCCATGCCAACTCAGGTTTTGCCAATCACAGGAGAACTCTAGAATGTAAGCCCCACAGTTGGTGAGGATTATAGTTTATTATCAAGAACCACTCAAAAGAATTCTGTAAAGTTTAGTTCTTAATATTGTTTTTATACTTTTCATACAAACATAAGCTCAGTGCATGCATAAATAAACTATACAAATTTACTTGCATTTTACATACCTTTTTAACTACGGAAACATTTTCAAAGCCTGAAAAATTATTAGGGATATACTGCCTCAGCACACCTCTAATTCTCTGGACACGACTGTCAGATATGTCATTGCTCACCACAACACCTTCAATGAGAAAAATCATTGTGTTATTTCCAAGAAGAACAGAAGAAAATGTGTTTAAACTACTAAATCTGATCTCTATTTATTCAAAGCCCATTACAGCTGTGGTGCAAAATTCTTAGCATTCAGCATTTGAGTATTTGGGAAATTCTTATTCTGACTAATAATAAACCAATAAAGTATACAGCAATATGATGACATCATTCCCAATTACATAATCAACATTCTTCAAGATTCAAACAAACTCATGATTTATAAAAAGACATGCAATTACAGTACTATACAGGGAAGCCTCTGATAACGACAGTTCTACTATCGACGATTCATATTTAAGACTGGTTAATTTAGGACCCAATTCAATTTACACAGTTATTTTCTTCGTATTTACGACAAAAATAGAAGAAAAAATTATATAAATTCACATTTTCATATAAATAATAACTAAATCCCAATATGTATTATACAAATAAAAACAAACACGCCTTGCACACGGAGGCTGCCAGGCTTGTGAGTGGTGACGCCAGCATCACTAGTATAAACAGTCGCAGCTTGGCAGGCCTTTTGTTTTCACGCATCTGAACATGAAAAGGAGAAAACTTTCAGGTTTCTTACGGCATTTTTGCATCGCTATTCAACATAAGCAAGAAAGCAAGTGATGATAGTGCTGGTTCAAAAGCTAAAAGAAAGTGTATAAGCTTAGCCGAGAAACCATATGATATGAAAAAGGTGGGAGGTCTGTGGATATTATATGGAACAAGCAATGAACAAATTTTCTGAAGTGGATCTATTAAGAGAACAAAGCATTAAAATTAACAGGGACGTGAAAAATGCATATGACCTGTACATAAATATGTACAGGTGTATAATGAGAAAAGAAAGCAGCTGTGCAAGGTTCTTTCGACAACTGTATTATTCGAAGGCCAAAACCATCAACTTCCACCACACCATCAAATTCAGCAACAACCACAGGTTCAGTAATGGTTTCAGCAACACCTATGACATCTTTATAGAAAGCTATAGTTTCAGCCAGAGTTGAACCTGATGACTTCATCATCTGAGTATAAATCACACAACAACATTCATTAGCTGTGAGTAGAATTTATGTTTTACATTCGTAAGTATTATTTAAAACATATAAACAGTAATAAGTGTTGCTTTCATATTCCTAAGTAGAGAAATTATGATATGTTTTCACATGTACGCACTTACATATGTTGACGTTGCGCAGTCTCACTTTTTTCTTTACCATTAGTACCGTAGTTAGCTACTTCTATTGTTCCATTTACTGTATTAACATTAAATAACATTACTTAAAACATACATATTCATTTTTTTACATAAATTTTCCGACAGTTACAACCAGGGTCTTATTTTTTTCAGTTTCATATGAGGTGCTCCGCATCAGAAGGGGATGAAGTGCCAAATTAAAAAAGCCGAGAAAATGCGTTTAAAGTTTTTCAAAGTTCAAACAACCATAATTATTTTGTTTTTTAAGTTAGAGGGTTCTTTTTTTTTTATCGTGCAGCTCAATCCCTCTCCTAGCAAACGGTAAAAAAATGAAAGTTAGTACTGTGAATAGTTATTATTTTATCGCTAGTTGAATGAGAATAACTACCCGTGATATACAGTTGTTTGAGCTTCAAACCAACAATAATCGCGTTTTTCTGCAAAATTTTCTTATTATTGTGGGCTAATACTGTAAAACAAGTTAAAGATCACCAAAACAGCACTCGTCTTACACTCTCCCCCCAAAAATGATATAATAATAAATAACTCATTTGCCTATCAGTATTTATCTTTCCGTCCCTATTATTAGCCAAAGATTTATAATAGTGTTAAGTATAATAGTGTGTAATAATAAGGAAACACCACTACACTCATCCCCCCCACCATTAACCTCTACCCCCCACCATTAACCTCTACCCCCCCAAAGTAATTAACATACGAATACAAAGGCGGAGAAAGTTTGCACAATTTTTGGTAAAAACAGCATTATGACAATCGTATTACAATATTACTTTGTTTAGTTCCTTCTTTTTATTATCCCTGAAGATCGTAGCAACTTGAAGTTACGTAAAACCTAGGAGTGAGTATAACTTTAATGGCCTCGTCATAATCAATCACGTACTGATCAAAGTCTTTCTCTGCCCTCTCTAAAAATCGCCACACAGATTCTTCATCAACTAAATCATTGATTATATAATTATTGATGCCGGCAACAGTTCAGTTTCATTATAAGACTGAGGTATGGGCTCACTTTCACTAGCACTTGTTGGGTCAGGCTCACTTTCATCACTATCAAGGTCAATGCACGTCTCGTCACTGTCCACTTCTACCTCCTCACAGTCTGTATGTTCTTGTTGTGATGCCGACCTGCCTCGCCTTGACTACTTTCTTGGTGCTGTAACTTACATACTCCTCACCCAAATTATGTTTACGCTTGGCAACCTCCTTTGTCCACTCGTCAACCCTACGCTCTCTCATCCTGTCTTTTTTTCTATAGGGTCTTGGGGGTACGCTCCTGACCCCTGCAATCTGCATTACGTGGTGCTCCTCCACCACCACCACCAACACTAGGCTCACCAACATCACCAAGTAGCTCATCAACAACATTCTCACGCACTTCACCTGCACCATCTCCAGTAGCACTTGGAACACCATAATCAACACTAAATTCGCCACCAAAATCACTATCACCAAGCATTACTGGGGTGTCTACGTGAGCACTGGCGTCAAACACACACTCAGGAATAATGGGCTCCTGAACCCACACCAGAAGGCCTCGCCTCACACGAGTCTTGCTCACATATCGTGCAGATATTGCACATATTGCACAGCACTTCTCACACCCGTGGAACACGAATAACGTCAATGTTACGCCAACGGCCAAAAAGTTATAAAAAAATAGCAAAAACAAAACTGAACCTCCCGATATTAAAATAGGCACCAAAACTAAAGAGGAGGCAGCATCTGGGCGCCTGGATTGGCAGAGGAGCTGTGACGTAGCAAGGGGAAATCCATTGCATTGGCTGCCTCGGGGGGTATGGTCCGAGGGAGGCGCGCTGTCATTGGCTCGCGCTCTGAACGGGATGTTGCCACTTTCTTGCACTGAGCACACAGCCAGATACGTAGCTCCAGGCCTGAGGCGAAATCACACCTTATTTTTTAAGGACTTTCTACCATATTTCTATTCTAGCTGCTAGATGGCTACATCCAACGCCAACATGTAGAGGAAGGGTGAAAATGGTGATATCCATCAAAAAACGCAATTTGGCCTGGGTATCACTTCACCCCCTTCAGACGCAGAGCACCTCATATGTAGAACCATCGTCACGGGTGTAAACACTAACGAAAACATTGCCGTCTCATCTCTTGTGTGTTTTAATATTCTATGTATTACAGTGACCGCTTAACGAACACCGGTTAACGTAAATTTCGATTAACGAACTGCCTTCCATATGGATCTTCAATTCGGTTAACGAAAAAAATTCGCTTAACGAACTTCTTACGAACCGACCTCAACATGTTTTCGCTTGCACTGACCGGGCAACCAGCTTTAGTATCAGTCCGCCAATACATTAATCGGTTCTAGGGCTTAAATTCCTTACTATTTTTGTAAATATCAAGAAGTTTATACTATTCAATAATTTTAAAAGTTTAATATTCAATTTTTTAGTCATTTTAACAATTATTGAACAAATTGAAGGTAAAGTGACTAGTTTAATGCGCGGCATCCAGCCTCTTAACACAGCAAACAGGCGTCAGTCTCTCTCTGTTTTCACTGGAGGTAACATCTTGCTTGAGACTCTCTTCAACTAAATGCTTTTTGTCTGTGTTTCCAAGCAAATTATTGGTCATTTTGAAATATATTTTATATATTGACAATATATAATGCAGTGCAGCATTGATTTAAAGAAAATAATCTTGAATTAAACCAGAGAGCTAAAATTTTATGGGTGAAATGGCACCATGGGGTGACTTCTCTTCCACCCCAATGCCTTCTCTTCTTCCTTCTCCTCCACCCCCATTCTAAATCCCATCATCATCATCATCATCCAGGAGCCTTCTACATACACACCTCAAAGTAAGTGAACTTTTCTACCATTTTTGTTGAATTTAGGAAATTTTCGGTGAGCTGGAACCAATTACCCAAAAACCCATTGAAACAATGGTTTCGTTAACGAACGTCAACTAAACGACCTTCTGGAACGGATTGAGTTCGTTAACCGAGGCCACTGTATTAATGAATTATATTGTTTATTTCGCATATAAAAACATTAAATTCAATTGAATACATACTTTATTCAGTAATAAACAATAATGAATCTTTTGTACATACAGTATTCTTAATAAGATATATGACGCTGTTTCCTTGAGCGCGCAAGTATACATTGGCGTTCCACTATAAGTTTCTCCCTTTTTTCTTTACCATCAGTGGTTACCGGTACTTCTACTGTACATTAAATAGCATTAAATAAAGCATACATTTTTTTTACATTAATTTTATGCCAGCAACAACCAGGGTCTTAATTTCTTCAGTTTCAGATGGATAACTGACATTATGGGTGTGAACACTGACAACAACAATGGCATCCCACTTCCTCTTGTGTGACCATATTATTATTATTATTGATTTATATTGTATAAGGTGCATTCATAAACATTATTTAAAGAATATAGTTTGCATTTTACATTAATTTTATTGCTTTGGGGGAAAAGAGAGTAAAAAGCCACACAATAGATATGAAAAAGTCAGACTTTGGAACGCATCTCATTATTATTGCTTTATTTTAATGGTAATTAATGATTCACGATACGCTGATTAACCTTACACTGCAATATTGGAGGACACATTACCATCGTTATTCGAGGCTTTACTGTATTGAACATAGTTTTAAATTATTGAAAGTTTAGTAATGATGTTTTAAACCAACCATATAATCAAAATGAATATATAAAATGTGATTATACAAAATCAACTCAACAAACTGTAATAAGAGATGTTAAATTTTCTGTGATTAAATTCATAACACACCTGGTAGTAGACTTTGCAATGCAATTAAGGTTTTTCCTCCTGGGGCAGCACAGAGGTCAAGCACTCGATCACCAGGTGCAAGGTCAAGGGCCAACACTGGCAGCAGAGATGCACCATCTAGAGCATAGTAATCTAATAGTTTCATATGATGGTCCATCTTTGGCTGAAAGTAAAAGCAAAACAGACTATTTTATACATGACAGCTGCTCTTACTGTAACAACAATGTGTTGCATCCACTTCAGGTGAACATTCACTCTGTTTATAGAAAAAGATAGAATAAATGAAAAATCCCAGGAATACTGAATTGCTGATTACTCACTATTAAGATTATTTTCTTTCCCCATCGCACCCACTAGTCATCCTACAAGTTTTCCTATAACCAAAGATACACACAGGAAGAGAAATAAATTAACATTTATACTACAAACCAATTGAAAACATACAACAACTTATAAGTGGGAAGTCAGCAATAATGCTTGGTCATGTATTTAAGGTGAACTAGTGAAGCACTTGCAGAATTAAGAGGAATGCAGAGAAAATTAAAACCACTGTAGCTCAGTCATCTTCATCAGCTGCAACAATGAAGATGGGTTGTTGTTTTTTATTTTTCTAGAGTTCTGTATGATTTGTTTTTCTAATTCTGAGGGGATTGGAGGGTTCTAGAATGCAACTCTCCTTTTATCATGTAAAACAGGGTTCATTTTACATGGATTCAACTTACAAGATACAAGTCACATGTCAAGGCCATGTGGCCTGGCAGTTCAACCCATAGACATGGTTTCTGTGGGGAGTTGCTTGATACTAGACCTCTGGTTATAGACATAAAAATCATATTTTGATATACAATGATGAGTGAAGTGCAATCACTGCTGAATAACTTCAACTTCACTTTGAACTACTGGAGCCTCTTGTCACAAAATGTAATACAATACCTGACACTGCTCAGAGTTTTGGGAACACTCTGGTGTGTCAAATGAAAATTTTCAAGACCCCATGTACAATAGATTATAAATCTAGTGACCTCCAACTTCTTCATACCAAAAAAGGATTACAGGCATTTGACAAAAAGGATGGTCATAGGTTGTTATTCAAATTATAAAACTTACCTTCGGAAAATCAGAAATGTCTGTTTTGTTAAATGCATAAATCTTGAGCATTGATGGCAAATTTATTGGCTCCTCTTGTTTTTCTATTTGAAGTCCAATGTCTTGATCTCCTTGGCTGGCATCAAGGAAAACATCAGTCTCTTCAATCCAATCTTCCAGTCCCTAAGAATTTTGTTTGACAAAAGTAAACATCAGCATCAAAGCAAAAAGTGTTTAATTTCATGACACTGGTAAGCAGGATATCTAATGAAACTTAAAATTGATCAAGTAATAACTCAATAAAATGTAAAAAAGACTAAGGAGTTAATAAAGTCATGAAGGTTTACTGGATGAGTAAAAATTACAATATGTTAATACTACTGTACATACATATAACACTAAATGTGGTAATGGGTCTTGATCATTTGACTTCAATTGTTTCAAACTGTTTTCCTAGCAGGCAGACAGTTAAACTTGTCAGAAATGCCTTGAGTTGGATTTAGTCTCCCAGTGTGGAAAAGATAAAATACACAAACTCCAAAGAAATTACACTATGATGCACTAAATTACGATTTTATGAAAAACAAGTTACCATTCATAAATATACAGTATATGTAATCTTTTACTCATCCTTACACAGGAAAATAATTTACAAAACTTAAGGTCTTGGTTCCCTAAAGTGACTGAAACCCAATTCTGGTAATATTCTTTCACAAAAGAACACATGCTACAGGCAGTATACTGTGCCTGAGTAGTACTATCACAAACCCAACCTTCAATTTTGTTGCGGGCACATAATCCATCATTGCGCTGATTCCTGCAGAGCCCACCTCAGAAGGAAGGATAATGCGACTGATGTAATCAAGTTCTGCTGTCCCAGGGACATGGTCTTGGGCAAGAGCTCTACGTCGATATTCTTCTGGATAACGACTGATGGGTTCTGCATTTGCTCGCGCAGCCAACGCATCATCATCTAGCTGAAAGCAATTAACAATCACTTACAGAACAAAATCTTTTCCTTATTTTATGAAGAAATAAATGTATTCAATCACATTATGAATTCTGATACTGTATGGACTTTTATTTCTACAGTACTTATACAATAATACATATCCTGTACTCTCTCTCTTATATCAAAACCATAAGCATGTACTGTAACTGTAAGATTTTTCACATACAGTACAGCACAACAAAATGGAATACTGTATTTAGTTACCTCTAAGAGAGAAGTTCTAATTAACTTCGAGTTTTTGGGACCATCTTCATCTTGAGAAGTGTCTTCTTCTCCTTCCTGAGATTTTTTTTCATTTATCTCCTCTTTTCTAGCTCTCAATCGCTCAGCAAAATATGAGTATTTGTGCCTGATGTCCATAGCTCCAAGTTCCTGGATAAAATAATGAAATACAGTAAGGTCTTGCATTTCGCGAGTAATATACTGGAAAAATTGCGCCAAATTCAAATTCGCCAAATGCAAATACATAAACTAATGGGAAAAATAACAATAGAGTATAAACTGGCCACTCAACATCAACCTCTGATTTTCCCATTTATAACCTCCAATGATGCAAATTCTGCCTTTATTGACTTAATTGTGCTTTCCAGAAACTAGTTTTTAGGCCTTCCTCAAGTAATTTAATCACACGCTGCTTATCCTGCATCGAATACTTGGCAAACTCCTTATGATAGTCCCGCTTCTCCTTTTCCTTCTTTGGCCACTTAGGTGGGTCTGTCCCACCAGCACCAGTAGGACCCCCAGTAGAGGTAGAGGCCATTATCTTGACTCGACAGGTGGTAGCACCACCCCAAAAAGCACACAATAACAGCCCGGGCGGTTGCTACGATGGCGCGGGCTACAACGCGATAGTTGCGTTCTTGTAAGCCTCTTTTACATTCACCAATGGCAAATTAAGGTAAATTTTATTAATAATACCAACAAATGTTTGATAATAGGTCCATAAAGTGATAGTGAGCTGTGGTAGTGAAAAACATGATGGTATATAGACAGTGATTTGGCTTTGCCAGTACAGTAGGCTATTAAACCTGCAAAAATTATTTTTCCGAAATAAACCTTGCTAATCATAGGGTGCATCTTATGACCGGGGAAAGATGGTGCTCTGTACTGTACTGTAGTGTTGACTCCTCTTGATCCCTGGCACACAGCCTCAGATTTATTTTATATATTTTCCATAGCAATCCGTGAATTTCCGAGGGACTCAAGATTTAAAACTGCGAGCTTTAACCCTTTTGCCATATTTCACACACTTCCCATTTTATTCTGGCTACCACCAGATGATTTAATTCAGCTTAGGGTAACCTCCCGCTGCGAAAGGGTTAAAGCAGTGGTTCCCAACCTTTTTGTACTCGCGACCCCTTTCTCAAAACCTCGAAACACACGCAACCCCCCTGCCATCAGCCATTTCAGTTTTAAAAAAATTTCTGAGAAGGAAAGGGGAAGAAAGAGAAAACAATCATTAATTCATCGATGTTGTACCTACTCCACCGGCACAACATTATGTTGTGTGTTCTAGGTTATTGGTGTATCAGCGAAATGAAAGTTTTGGTAATGTTCCTGCTGATGTACGAAGTTCTTCTCCCAAGGCTACCAAGTTTTCCTAAGGTTTCTCGACCCCCCAGCCAACCCTCCGCAACCCCCAGGGGGGTCGCGACCCACAGGTTGGGAACCCCTGGGTTAAGGGAATACTGTACCCAGTACAGTACAGTGTACTGTACTGTAGTTACATTTTTTTTGTCTTTTATTTTTTAATTTTTTCACAGCATAGGAAGATGCTGAGGTAATGACACAACCATCTCAGGACTTCCCATACCAGACCTGGCCAGTTTATAAAGACAATTAAACTAAAAGCAACATACAGTAGTGCACTGTATTAAGAGTGGCTAACTAAACTGAAAAAAAAAATTAGATGTACCTGTCACAGGTATAGACCCTCCAATCCAGGACCCTTAAAACTAAGATCAAACCTGCTTTCTAGTTTTCTGGGTCCAGGTTATCTATGATAACCCAGGCCAACGTCAAGTTTTGCTTCCATACAGCATACAATCGGTTGAACGTTTGTTTTACTTTTTAAATAACATAACAAAAAAATCATTGTATGCAAACTTTAGAAAAAACAATAAATACTGTTTATTTGGAAGTTGAAAGTTCCCTAAAAATGAGTTGAATTGGTTTATCAATGTTCCAAAGTTTCAATTGAGTAGTAATATATACCAGATGTAGAGTTGATAAATAATTATTTCTGATTGAATAAAATGGTCTAATGCCTAGATTATATTTTTTATATTTATTAGTACAGGTATACAGTATTAATAAAATATTACTGTATCATTGTTTTCACACTACAGTACTTTTGAAATTAACATTACTGGTAGCAAATTAAACCAAATGCTACTTGTTCTCAGAGGGTATAATCTACAATATACAGTACTGTACTAAACTTAATCACCATATTTCTCCTGTAGCATATAATTCAAGAAATGAAAAATTTAAATACTGGATGATACAGTACTGTACTGACAACTTACCTGAAACTTTTCAACAGTAACTTCATGATTAGCAAAGTTGTTCACAACGGCAACATATTTTTGCTTTGATGAGAGAGCAAGCCTAATTGATGGCCAGCGTGTTCCATATACAGGAGGGTAAGCAATGTCAAAGTATTCTTTTGCTCGGTCCATGTTGGTAACTTTGGTTGCTCTATCCTACAAAAAATAATAAATGATAGATCAACATTAAAACAGTACACCAGAAGAAGTTGTTTGATTATGTTTACTTTTTCCAATACACAGAACCTAATACAACCTGACCTAACCAACCAAACAAACCTACCTAACCTTACGTAACTTCCTGGCCGGTGAGTAGACCCCCCAGCATATTACATACAAAGTACCTACTTTCATATCTAGTCCCAATGAAAGTAATTTTTTTAAAAAGCGGCATGGTGTAATTTTATGATTTTCGTGGACGTGAGAGTACGCTCGGTTGTTGCTAGGTAACTAACAAAGACCGGACGACAACACACATCGACATGGCAATTTTTTTGAGGAATATTTGGTAATTTTTGTCTAACCCACAGCCGAAATTCACAGAAAACGATTTTATATTAAAAATGCCTCAATTTCACTGTTTTTTAAGTGGACACTGTTGTAGCTTGTGCAGATGTGTTAAAAAAATTTATCTTAAAATAAACATAACCTAACCTTAGTGGGTATGAAAAACAGACCTCACCAACCTAGCCAAACAAACCTACCTACCTTCCTTACCGAGGGGTGGAGTATTAAACAGAAAGAACTTACTATGATATGGTGTAATTTGAGCTTTTTTTCTGGATGTGAGACCATCCGGCAGCATCGGCGCTTATGCAGGCCGGGTGGCGGAGTGATTTGTTATTGAAATGGCGGGAAACGACCAGCCACGGCGTCGAGACAGTGATGAATGATTGTTTCCAATCAACAACTGACTTAGCACACAAACCCAGTTCTATTTCACAGTATTGCTGTGAACAATACTTACTACCTAAAGGAACGATGCCGTGGTCTTTGAAAAATTTAAACGTCTTGTTGTCTTTATCCCTAAATTCGCAAATTGCATCTATATAAGACCGGCAACAACCTTCATATGTCATGCTGAAAATTAAACTGCCGCGGGGAAGAGACGACTCCTCTCTAGAGCAAGGCCTCATTACTGCCGAGAAGACAAAGTAGCGCGCGCATAGGCGCATAATTATCTACCAAACGAAGCATTTGCACAAGAAATGATTATCATATCAGAACTCACTGATGAAAAAAAAGTAAGAAAATAAACATTAAAATAAATAACTCGTCCGCGGGTCAGTCGTCAATATTAACTAAATATTTATGGTAAATAACTACTGTACTGTAATTTCTTCACATACAAAGCACATAGTGATATCATTTTAGTGTCATATGAACAGTTTTTCACCATGTTTTAACCCACACTTTCCCTCATCCTTCATACCCTGCCCACTACTGGTGATTTATGATTATGGATAGAAAAAACTAAAAAATAATTACAATCAAAATAAAAAGTTGTCATATCATTTTTATGACTGAATTTATTATCATCCAAGGAACATCTGTGGAAAAAATTAACATAATCGAACAGCTCCTTTTGGTGCTAGCCATACGCTCCACCATTATTAACGGTAATTATATATGACTAAACAATGAGCGAAATTTACTGAAAAAATTATGAAAACACCGGATTTTCACTGTTATATTGTAGTGGACACTGTTGTAGTTTGTGGAAATACAGGGGTATGTTAAAAAATGGATATTTTAAAAATAAACATTACTTAACATTTGTGGGTATGGAAAACAGACCTAACCAGCCAAACCTACCTAACCTTATCTAACCTAACCTCCTTACCGTGGGGCTCTGCTCCCCAGACCCCCCGGTATATTAAACAGAAAGAACTTACAATGATATGGTGAAAGTTGAGGCATTTTCTGGAAGCGAGATGATACGGCCGTATCAACGCTATGCACCCCGAGCGGAGGAGTGATTTACTGTGTTGGCAGGTTCCACAATAATTGATTATCATATCAGAACTCACTGATGAAAATATCTTCAGAAAATAAACAGTAATAAAAATAACTCTCTCATGGGTTAGTTCGGTAATTATATAGGACTAACCCGAGAGTGAAATTGATTGAAAACAATTATAAAATGCCAGATTTTCATTGTTATATTATAATGGACACTGTTGTAGTTTGTGAAAATTGTTAAAAAATGGATATTTTTTAAATAAACATTACTTAACATTTGTGGGTATGGAGAACAGACCTAACCAACCAAACCGAACGAACCTACCTAATCTTACCTAACTTCCCCGGTATATTAAACAGAAAGAACTCACTATGATATGGTGAAATTTGAGGCATTTTCTGGATGTGAGATGATACGGCCACATCGGCGCTATGCAGCCCGGCGGGTTAGTCCTATATATTAACCGTTAGTTCTATAGGTATTATTTTACTTTTGGACATTGCGCCCCAAAAGTTATAAACTACCGAAACATTTAGATCTCGCTATTCTGAGCATTTTGAACTTCATATATACATGGATAATAGCGACACAATTGAATTTAATTGATTTTAAGTAGTTTTTAGTCTTCAGAGAAGTTTTTAGTCTTCATCTCTGCGAGATGTTATCTGCGCATCACGCATGTGCAACGTTGACTGACTTCATCCAGTCGTGACTAATGAGGTATTGATATCATTACGCAAATTTTTTGTACCAATCACATTTGATTTTTTTCAAAGGAAGCAGTCTGGGTATGATTTTAATTTCATTGACCAGTTTTACAATGGCCATGGTGAAGGTTGGGTGTCGTTTGTGCTCCTACGATTATTTTAAGTTTATTGCCGAGATTTACGAGAAAGATGATTATTCTATCCAATTCTTACGTATCCCTGGTCCTTCCACTTCTAAGGTATTGTACTTTCGGACATGGCGCACCCCAGAGCTTTTAACTCCTGAAACATTAAGGTTAGTTTAAGCTAAGCCTACCGGAGGCAAAGCCCCTACTAGGGGTCAGGTTAGGAGTTAGGTCAGATGACTTGTTTTCGTTTTCTCCCCCACCCAAAAACCCCGATTTCCCAGGCTCTCCCCCATTATTGTTGGGGCGGGGGCAAAAATTTACCGTCCTATACATTAACCCTATTAACTGTAGTATAAACCGACATTCAATCCACTTGTATATCATAGGTCAACTCACGGGGGCAACAAAAATCAGCTCAATGGGATGACACTGTCCACTGAATTATTTTGGAATTATCAATGGTTATTACCGAGGGGAAATCAATATTCAATAAACTGTGATATGGAATATATTCTTTTAGGTTGGGTACAAGTGGGTATCAAAATACACGTACAGGCTCACTGTATTATACCTACTAATTGATTACCTTTTTTCTAAAGCGTCTTTGAATGTGCATTAACATTGTTCTGCTTTCTATTCTCCATTTCTTGACAGCTAACATTTCCCACTTTGACACTTGGTTATTTCAGTACGATATGCTAAAAAAAAGTACAAATTGACCATGTGAAGCTTGTCTTTGACTGTTTATTTACTTTCTGCGTCAAGTCAATTTTTATCGGAACAGAATATCTTTGTTCTAACTCCTCATTATTTATTTGTCGAGATTAAATTAAGATATAGTAAAATAAACTGTTTTGGGTAAATATACATCCTTTTGATTTGTTTATAAATGTACGGGAGAAGAGGATAATATGTTAGGTGTCTTGTAATGCAACTTAAATAATTGGATGTTCAGGAAAAGTGGTAAAACAATTTGAGACTCAAAGACAACATAAACTAAATAAACCTAATTTAATCTGACCAAAACAAACCCAAGACAATTCGTAGAGGATAAGGAAAAATAAGGTTAGTCTTGAATGAGGTTGTAGTGGAATTCTCCCCTACAAACGCTGTTTGTCGCTGCCTAGCCGACCCCACCAATTCCCCAGTGTATGCCTCGTGGTCTAGGTCAACCAGCGCCGCCATACATCACGGAGCGGGGGTCAACTACTAAGCCACGCCTACCCCCGCTGGAAGACCGAGAGAATTAACCTAAGTAATATATATCGCGAAATTGACCCTGACATTATACTAATAAACAGTCACGGTGAGACAGAAAACAACAACATAAAACTCTTTAACTATTATGTAAACCAAAGAAATAAATCGGGCGAGAAAAATGACGGAATAGCGATAGCAGTTAAAAGAAACTTAAAATTTAAACTAATTGATGACTTCCAGGATGAATTTCTAGCAATAAAAATAAATACAACTCAAGGAGACGTAATTATTGCTACTACTTATCTCCCACCGAGACGACCCTACTTACCTATAGAAGACCTATTAAAATTGGCTAACAATAGTCATCCGATGTACATCTTAGGAGACTTTAACGCCAGACATAGGATTTTTGACAATACAAATAATAACGTCGTGGGAAACGCCCTTAATCAATTAATAAATTTAGGGAAAATCAATCATCTGGGTCCTAACTTTCCAACCTGGAGAAATCACAATACACAATCGACACCAGACAAAATTTTTACCAACAACAAAGCCTTTTTCAATTACCATATAATACAGGGACCTCTTACAGGCAGTGACCATCTGCCAATTATACTAACACTGTCAACAAGCCCCATACAGATACCAATAAAAAAGAGACTGAAAATGAGTAAAACAGACTGGGACAGCTTCAAAGACGACTTAAGTAATCACCACTCGATTAACCTACAAGAGAAAACAACAGAAGATATAGACTCAGAAATGGACAGACTGCACTCAGCAATAAAAACATCTATAACCAAACACACTCCTACTTCACACTTTAGAACATTACCCAACAACAGACTACCAGAAGAAGTTAAATTAATCCAGACCTATTACAATGAAATAAACAGGTATATGGAAAGACACGGCAGTAACAGATGGCTATATACGACACAGATAGCACTACAGATAAAATTAAGAGACGCATGTAAGGAAGCAAACAATAAAAAATGGAATGATATTATAATGGCGGCTGACATGACTAAAGACACAAAAACATTTTGGACTTCCATAAACAAGATGATGGGGCACAACAAGCAAAAAACACCATACATTAAAGACCAAAATGGAACAAAATTGCACGAGGAAAATGAACAAGAGTCAGCATTCAAAAGGGAATGGGTAAAAGTTTTTAAAATATCAGATGAGGAAAATGAAGATTTTGATAGTGAACACGAAGAAAGGATAGAAGAAGAAATGGGAAGACAAATACATAGAATCACCCCAAGGCAATATATAGACTATAACTTATTAATTAATAATCAAATAATAAATCCATGGGAGAAATGATGCACCGTCTGAGGAAATTTAAGGAAAAAAGCCCCTGGGCTCACAGGCATTACATTCTAAATATGATCATGAATCTACCTGAAAAACATTTTAAATACACTATTAAAACATTTATAACGCATGCTTAATAACTGGTTACTTTCCAGACAAACTAAAAATATGCTAAAATGATATTTATTCCTAAAGAGGGTAAGGACACAAGGAAATATTAAACTACAGGCCAATATCTTTATTAGAAATTACCGAAACTATTGGAAAAAATATTAAATTCAAGACTTATAGCCTTTTTAACACAACATGGGAAAACTAACAACAGACAACATGGATTTATGCCCAATAGAAATACCCTAACTGCAATAGATATAATAACGGAAATAATTGCAATAGAAAAAAGCAAGGGCAACCAGATCAATATAATTTTAAGGGATGTTTCTAAGGCTTTTGATAAAGTTTGGCATTTAGGCTTGAAATATAAAATATTAAAACTGGGACTTAACGAATACTTGCTAAGAATATTGTGTAACTATTTAGATGATAGGAGAGCACAAATTCAAATTGGAAACTTTTTAGGAACTATGTTTAATCTTGAGAGTGGAGTACCTCAAGGAGGATGCCCTTCTCCAACACTATATACAATTTATGCCTCAGACACACCTCAACCTACCCCCTTTAGCGAATATGTAATGTTTGCTGATGATATTACTCAAATAGTATCATACCCAGGAAAATCAACTCAATTTATGGCACTCTACACGGTAAGAGCGATAAAAAACATAAATGATTTTGAGAAAAAATGGAAAATCAGGACAAATAAGAACAAATTCAAGATAATACCAATAGCCAAG